TCTGTGATTCTATGAAGTATCAGCTACAGGAACAGAGGGAACGGAAGGCTGTGTTACTGCTCTGCTGTGAGCGTAGGAGGGTTGCTTCTTTTCCAGTGGGGGGTAGGAGGGAAGAGTGGATGGTAGGGTGTGTCTGCATCAGCAGTTTGGTAGAGAGGTTTATTTGATGCAGATCCGTGCTGTATGGTGTCGGAGCGATTTACCTCCTGGTGCCACAGAGGCAGTACCCCGGGGTGTTCTCTGAACATCCCACTCACAGCCTGGGCTCCAGGCAGGCCCTCCAGTAACTACCTAACACTGCTCATTGTTAGATTTATACGCAGGGTATACAGTTTGATTGGTGGTATGTGCTGTGGATACGCAGTCCTAGACCCATGAAAGACCGCAGCAGGCTGAAGCCCAGTTCTCCTTCCCTTTGTGCAGCACACGAGTCGATAACATACCCTGAAAGTTAACCAAGGTCATTCTCCGAAGGGTGGCAGTCGGGATAACAGCGTGGTTTGGATGCTGAACTTGTAGCAAGTTGTTTTCTGATACTGTCTAGTGACAAGACAATGTATCTGAGCCTCAAAGCCCTATTTAAAATAGTTCATGTGTCAGCAGAGCTGGGTGGTGTGAAGCAACATGCCCGAGTCTGCTTCCATGGTCAGCGTAGCCTGTACCTGGGAGTATTGCTGCAAGAATAACCTTGTTATGACTTAAGGACAGGAAGCCATCTCTGGGATGTGTAGCAGGTACAGTCTGTAGTTATAATCACTAGTTCTAATTTTGCACTCCAGTTTTGGATTGTTTGGATACCATCCCATCTCTGCTGAATGAAAAAATGAGTATGTTTACATATGTAAACTGTTTTTACAGGAAATAATTGCAGTAAGAGTTGGGTTAAAATTCTGTTTACCTGAATCCTGCTTTTTTTTTTTTTAATTAATTTAACTCTTTATATTTGAATTTACATTTTTTGATACAGTTAGAGCTTCTGAAGCAGGTGTTCTTGCAGATCCCCTGGTGGAAAATGCATATTTTTTCGACCGATATATTCATGCAGTGCAATATTCATGCAGTGATTTTCTTTTTAAAGAAAGTGGGTTTAGGCTCAGTATAGAGTTTAGTAACTGCATCTTAAAATAACTGCTGTCTTTCTATACTCCTTCCCATCGCTTCAGAGCTGTAGTGCTTTGAGCTGGGGTTTTTCAGTTCCATATTAAATGCTATGTTCTCATCTCCTCTATTAATGGAAAGACCATATCCTGAATTTCACACAGTTTTCTGGGTCACAGGAAATGCAGAGGACTCTCTGCTTTTTTTTTTTTTTAAGTGCCTTTTTTAGTACTGTTACCGGTGCGGTACCATTGCTTGTGCCTAGGAGTAGGATGAGTGGAAAACCCTCCAGACTGAACTGAATTCTTGTTGTGAATGTCCGTGTCTTTCGTGAGCAGCAGGTTACATTGAGTCATTAAAGGGAGAGTCTGAAAAATCACTGCTCTAGGAATTACTGCTCCCAGTTTTCAGTGGTTTTGTAGTCACAAGACCGTGCTTATGTGGAAAAGATTCGTGTTGTGATTGTCCAGTGGGATTCTGTTGGGATGTTAGGTCCTGACGGCGTGTTGAAATGCAGGGTCTTGGTACCCTCTTGACATACGTAAACAAGTCCACTCTTGCGTTTCTTGTTCAGTTACCAGTACACTGAACCGTGTAACCCCTCTCATGATTTCCCCTCTTCCCAGGTATCCTTTGCGTGGCTGACCAGTGTCATGGTTTACGTGAACTGGCGCTGAACTACCACCTGCTGAGCGACGAGCTTCTGCTGGCTTTGTCTTCGGAAAAACACGTCCGGTTAGAACACTTGCGCATTGACGTTGTCAGTGAAAATCCTGGCCAGACTCAGTTCCACACGATTCAGAAGAGCAGCTGGGACGCTTTCATCAAGCATTCGCCTAAAGTAAACCTCGTAATGTACTTTTTCTTGTACGAAGAAGAGTTTGACCCCTTCTTTCGTTACGAGATACCTGTCACTCACCTTTACTTTGGAAGATCGGTAAGCAAAGACGTACTTGGCCGCGTTGGGATGACCTGTCCTCGGTTAGTTGAACTGGTGGTGTGCGCCAATGGATTGCGGCCGCTGGACGAGGAGCTGATCCGCATCGCGGAACGTTGCAAGTATCTGTCGGCCGTTGGCCTAGGAGAGTGCGAAGTCTCTTGCAGTGCCTTCGTTGAGTTTGTGAAGATGTGTGGCGGTCGTCTCTCTCAGCTTTCTATTATGGAGGAAGTCTTGATTCCTGATCAGAAATACAGCCTAGAGCAGATTCATTGGGAAGTTTCAAAGCATCTTGGTAGAGTCTGGTTCCCGGACATGATGCCCACATGGTAAAGTCCCTGAAGGACTTCAGGGCGGATGGAATAGCACCTTAAACCCAAGCTTGCGATTTACTGAATAAGCTTATTTTAATATTAGAGTTTCTACTGTAAGTTACTTCATTGCTTGATTAGAAAATGAATTTGTCATTTGAAAATTATTTATAAAATCCGGATTCAAAAGCAGAAATCATGGATAGCTCCAAAAGCTGTTTTCATCCAAACAAAAATCCATTTTCTGTTCAAGATTTGTTCTGTTTCATCGACAGTGACCTCAAACTTTGATGGAAGTAAAAGAAATGTATTTAAAATCTTGAAACGTACCTGCAAAATACCAGTTCTGATATGCTGTCCTTCTTTGGTTTAGGTAGTAGTATTGAACACTGTCATAGCTGATGTTAAAAAAATCCCAGCCAAACCCCCACTGAAATTGCATGCTTCTGTGGCAGATGATCGCCTTCCTAAATCCAGTCACCTAGATGACAAGGTTAAGGCTATAAGGAGTATTTAGTAGGCTGTGAGACACCCATGTTCTTTTATATGACTCATAAAAGGCCAGAGCAATATGCTATAATATACTTTAGACAATAGAAATATTAAGTTTGGTACCTTATTCAGCAGATTATTAGATCCATCTGACATGTACGCAAACAAATAGTGCGGGCGACCAAAAGAGATGTGGGTTTTCTCCCCCCTCTCTGCGTTTTAATGTCGTTTGCTCATGGGGTCTCAGATCTGTGTCTAAACCTGTTTTAAGGTATTTTATGTCTAGCTCAGGAAGCGAAAGCATTCTGAGGAAAAATGTAGATACATTGTATTTAAAAACCACATTGGAGTTAATGAGCTTTTCTTGCACATTAACTGGTGTTGCAGCAGAGGGTTAGGTGGAATAAGGCAGAGTTTATGAAAGGAACCCTGCAGTGTTAAACGTGATGGAGTGGATGCGAACAGCGCGAGGCAAGAGCGTTAAAATTTGAACGGTGACCAAGAACCTTTTTACAGAATCCTTAAGACCTGTTGGCTGCGTTCAGTTTGAGAGAAATGACATTGTAACAGTCGCTTAAGCTGCATAAACTAATTGTACACTGTAAATCTGTCTCAGAAATGTTGATGTATAAAGTGAATGTTTGATAGATGATCATTTTGTATACCTTCAATTCAGCTAGCTGGATCACTTCCTAATATTTAAAAACCTAAAAGCCGTAAACTTGCGTGAAGTAGTGCGATAGGCAAAAAAAAAATTGTTTTCGGTGTTTGGTAAACCAGTTTTGTTAAAGAAAGTTTTTTGTCTCTCCGTGACGTAGGCAACACGTTGCCTGTGATCTGGACGTGGCTTGTGACATCACTTCTTATCGCCAAGGGTTACGTCCCCTTCTCTTCTACCTGACCCGGTGGGTGATGCTAAAGCCTCGGCGTAACCGCGGAGAGGGGCGATCAGCTGCTGGCAAGGCAGAGCCGCTCCGGCTGCGGGCTGCATCAACCTTCAGCTGGCGGTGGCTTCCTGCTTCAGCAGTACAGCTGGTTCTAGTCCTTAGTAGGTTTTCTTCCTTTCTGATCTGAGTGATGCTTATCCGCACGCATGGTCGAAGGGTAAGCCACTTAGGAGCAGACTGAAGTTCATAGCTGCACTTTGAGCAAACGCCGCTCGGCGGGCTGGACATCTTCATAGGGAAGTTGTATGTTTCTGTAGAGTTTTGATTTAAAAAAAATCACATTTTATGAAATACGTGCTTTTTTTTTTTTTGTATTAATTTAAAAACTTCTAATGTAAACTATAATTTGCTTTTATTTGTATAAAAGGTGTCAATATACTTAGTCCGTAAAAGTAAAAAAGCTCAGTGGTTTTTTTTTTTTTATAGTCTGACTCGAAATTGCCCGAGCGATAAAGGTGCAGCAACGCTACCGATTTGGAGAAGAGGACGTGTTTTCACTAAGTTCATGTGTGAAGCAACCACACGAGTAACACCGCTAAAACCTCTTCGGACCTCGACTGCTGGTGTCCCGGTGTTGGCGAGAAGTCGGTCTGTCGCTCGCTGCCGCGGGAGCAGGAGCACCACAGACTGCCACGACGTTCGCTGCGACCACGAACACGGGTGCCTTACGGCTGTATAAAGTAAATTCCCCTGGGCTCAGCTTTATTCCTCCTTGCTTTCCAAAGAAGATAACCCAGTGTAGGCTGAGTTGTCTAGATTTGGGTAGGAGTTGTGCGCGGTCACAAATCTTATCTCTGAACACAAGTGCTGCATCTCTTCAGGTGTTGGGGATCAAACTGCTCTGGAAAGCTGCAGATGCCAAACAGCTGGGGTAATCCTGGCCAGCTGCACTTGCTCACTGTGAGATGATATGTTAGTGTGTATCAGGTTTAAGAGCAGCTGCTTATGTTAATCCCAGGAAACAACGTTTACCTGAAACTACAAATTTGTGCATATAAATGGCATTTTTTTAGGGCTTTTTTTGTCGAACTTTCACTATTCTGATGAATATCAGAAGAACTTATATAATGAACGGGGGCTTTTTGTGTCCAGGAGTAATCCCAAGCAC